GTTCAATAACAATAACTCACTTGAGTACAAGTTCACTAGTCCGATTCGTCAGTTACTCTCTTACTATTGAGTATACGTACTCAATAGGCCTTGCTTCTATCTCTACTGTTATTGTTCTTGTGTTATCTTCGGGTTGTCCTTGATCCTGCTCGGATCATTGTATCATTGCATCGTCAGGCTACCTGGTCGGTAGGCCTCAGGCAAGTATTGGATATAGTCCAGGGACTATATCACCCCTTCCCAAAGTAGTTGACTAGCAGAGAACAGCAGAGACGGATCCCAGGGTGTGACAGGCTAAAGCTATCTCAGATAAGCCTGAGCCTCTAATTAAATTAGATGAAGTTAATAAGATTCCTCTACCTAACAACAGCCGCTTATAACAAGAGAGTAGTACTCAGAGGCGCTCATCAGGGCGGCTTCTAAAGTGTTTAAGATAGGATGAAGATTTTGTGTATGAATAGCCATTGATCTAGTAGAGTTACTAATGAAAAAACTATTATAATCTAAACTTCGCTTATATTGCATTCCATCTGAGTATATCCATCTAATATTAAAACTAATCTATAAGCAAAATACTTAAAAATACATGTAGATTTTGCACAAAATATGCATGTCACAGGGATTCCTATGTTTGTCCTGTTTGTAGGACCGCTGGTCTTAACCAGATTGCAGTGGTGCGGTCCTAAGGTCTTGCACCAAAGACCGGACCACAGCGGTCCAGTCCGGTTTGGTTTGCGGTCCTTGCGGTCCCATTTCGAGGCCTAGGTATAGGATATAGGAGTGAAGTTAGCTAGCCTAGGACTTGGGCGGCTAAGCAGCAAGGGAATAGATGCTAGGAGCAGCACTGACTGACGCATCCATTATACGCTTTCGATTTGCTTCTTTTCTGATATCTGCATCTCTTGGTCATTGCTAAAGTCCTCGCCCAAAATCCTTGAACGCGAATGGCAGAATAATTCTGCCATGCAAGGGGATACTGCTTCACCGCCTTGCCCTTCCCCACAATTTCTAAAGGGCAGATTCAGAATCTCTTTCTCAGATTTTCACCCTGTCCTTCTTGTCCACCACTCATTTTCTGCCCTCACAGTCCTCACTCACTGTTTCTGATCCCTAGTATGATGAATGAAACTGGACAGACACCTGCCTAGGTCAAGAAGCTGCACTGTGACCTTGTGCAGAAATATCAACTTCATGCATCGCGAATTGGACAGATATGGCGCTCCTCAGACCAGAGCCAACAAGATAAAGCTGTGAAGGCTGGTGCTGTCAGAGATTACATATTAGCAGACCTAACAGATCAATCCCCCTATACATAAGGAAGAGGTAAACCACATCAAACAGGTAAAGCAAGAATATGATAGGTTAGTAGAGAAGTGAAATCAGTTTCACCAGTTTACTCTCTTTCATTCTTTCCTAAACCCTATTCCAAACACACTAATCTGTGATTGACTAAGCATGTTTAAAATTGTGAAAATGTACTGTACTCTGTCATCACATAATGTCTTAAATTCTAAATAACATGAAATTTCTATACAAGCAATTCTCAACACCTCATTACCCTTCATTATTCACTCCCTTCAGCACTTTCCATCATCAGCGCATGTTCCCCATGTCATGTAGCACGCCATGAATTTGCTTTTGACAACTCTCAGGGGCTTCGGGCCTTCGGCCAATTTCCAGCCTCTATCCGTGCCCTTCGAGTAGCCCCCACGGTCCCACCGCACACGGACTGGTGGGTGCACCAGCGACGAGGCTGAGAATAGCCTCGTCTTGGCAGTAGGCCCGTTTCCTTCTTTCATTGCCTCGCGCCCTCGCCGTGTGTTCGAAGTTCAACTACTTACCTTCCACGCAGGTGGCGAACTGTCTCTTGAACCAGGATGGTTACAATTACATCCACCTGTCAAGGATTGGGTTCCGTTACAAGCACCCCTGCCTTGACTACAACGTTCACTGCTCCAGCGTGGTGTTCCACAAGGTTCTTCGCAAAAGACCTTCCTCCGCCCTACGACTATGGATGGCATGACTTTCAAGACCCTCGATGGTATTCGTGTGTGCCGCCTGAATGGAATGCCACAGCATGCCAGAGTCTAGTTTTCAGTCCAGGCATTTGCCCGGACGGTTGGTATGCACAGGCAAATGATGGACAAGGAGCAACGACGTGCTGCATGTCGTACGTATTCCTTGGCTTCATTTCCTACCGCGTCTCCTATCTAGCGCCTGAAGCTAATATTTTATACCCCTATTTGTCTTAGAGGCTTCACTTATGGGTCTTTCGACGGAAAATGCATGAAAGCAGATGTCACTAATTATGAGTTGGCCGTACTTGCGACCGCCAGCGACGGTCGCTACCAATCCCCGACGGCATCGGATAATGGCACAGCAATAATGACCTCTGGAACACTTGACCATGTTTTTATCGTGGTACACACTGCAACGGCATTGCCCACAAGCTCAGCGGTACCCACTGCAACGACATTGCCCACAAGCTCAGGGGCACCCGCTCCAACGACATTGCCCACAAGCTCAGGATTAGGTGGAGGAGCTATTGCTGGCATTGTAGTCGGTATCGTTGCCTTCATCGTGCTTGCCGCAAGTCTGGCGTACTGGACCTGGATGCGTTCTCACCGCCGGGACGATTCAAATGAGACATACATGACGTTGGATCATGTTCGCTCGGAAAATCATGGCCGCTCAGAACTTCATGCGGATGATTTACCTCCTACGGCGGGAAAGGCGGAGCTCTCTGGTGAAGGCATTTCAGAACTCGGGAGTGCCGAGCCCCGATCGGACCATTCTACAGGTCATCAACCACCTGCGGAATTAGCTGCATGATATATTTAATATAAGACACGGCTAGTTGCCTAAACTTATCTGATAAAACAACAAAGACCTACTAGGAGAAGATATGTGTCAGTGAATGTGACCCCAGTTGTTAGAATCACCAGGTGATTCCATGGTGTCCTGGAACTCGCAGTACTTAACTAGTTAAGTATTATGAGGATGACTAATTGATTGTATATGACCACTCCCATTAATTTCTGCTGAAATTATATAGTAGTGAACTGAAATGCTTTAGCAAATTTTCTGATTTCTTTGCAGGAATGAAGCTGGGAGAGTCGGAGGTATAACTGATGTTAAAAACTACTGTACCAAGGTTGTGACTCTTGGCCTAGGATATATTGCAAGCCACAATGCTTAATGGAAATGATGGTTTTTAAAAGTGGCCTTGGACACTCCTTTTTGCTCTGATGACATCAACACACCATGGAGGAAAGTACTAAAGCCTTAGCGAAGGTCCTCCTCATAATGACTAGTTCTTCTTAATAATGTAAGCCTTTTAGTTCGCTAAAAAATTCCCGTCCTTATGGTAAGTAGGTAGCTGCTGGCAGCTGATTGGTCACAGAAAAGGGGGATGTCCGGTGCAGATTAATCCTATTTAGGCTCTTGACAAATCCATGGCTCAGCAGCTGCCAACCACATTGCCCGTGGGAGGCGGAAGGATCAACTATCCATTGTGATTGGGCTGATGTCAGGTAGATAGTAGCGGTGAGGTTCAGGAGGTGGCAGGAAACTGCAGCAGGGCTGGCTGAAGAGCTTGCCTTAGTAGCCGATCTTTGTCGATCTAATCATAATTATCGCAATTATGAGTATGACTGCACCTAAAACCCGGGATCTATTGCAGGCTGCAATATTTATGTACCCCACCAGCTTGTATTAAAGTGTGTCCTCTGTCCTCTCAAAATAAGGTACTTGAGCATGCTTTAGCCACTGTCCACTAGAAATGACAGCCTAAGGGTCGTGCACAAGCCAATAGGCTAAGCTCCTAGTTGTCCGTAGTTTTTCTGTACTGCCCCGGCGGGGTTTTTTTCCATCCTCGGTTTTCCCCCTCCGTCACGCAAATGCGGGAGCGAAATTCTCTGAGCCAGCTTTTCTGTCTTCTCAGTTTCAATGCACTTTTTGTTATGTATCTGCCGTTAGAGACTAGCACCAATACTTATTAGAACAAATGAAGAAGCACAGGAAAGATCTTGGTTACATAGTATCTGTATAGACAATATCCATCTTCCCAGATCACAGTAATTGCCACAACATACACACATAGACTTAGGCCAGCGTGGCTGAGCAAAATCGGTGAAGCTTTAGCTCTTCCCCATTCTTGATCCTCTTTATGATTTCCTCCACCTTTATAATTGGAAAACACCATTGCAGTTGGCGATCCTTCCAAGGAACTGCCCCTCTGATGAAGTTTTCTTGGGCTGTATATTTATGAATGAGCAATTGAGCATTAACTGCTCTTCTTCCATGTGTGCGTCTGTAAGCTCAACACACACCCAACACAATGTACGAATCATGATTTGTCTTTGGATAGGAAGAAAATAGGATAAGGTTGTAACTAGGCTTGCTCCTGGGTCAGCAAATGTGACTCTAGCACGTGCAGCCTTAACGGAATCACCATCCTTGCAATTAACGCAGGACCAAGTAACATTGAGCCGCATGGTTAGGAAATCATTAATGTTCTTCTAATCCAACCCCTCAGCAATGCCTATAACTGTCTAGACTAGTTTTATTTCTTAGGTGTTTATCATCATCTTTGGTATCTTTGGTATCTTTCGTATCTTTCGTATCTTTCGTATCTTTCGTATCTTTGGTATCTTTGGTATCTTTGGTATCTTTGGTATCTTTGGTATCTTTGGTATCTTTGGTATCTTTGGTATCTTTGGTATCTTGGTGTATTTGCTGTGTATTCTATTGCTTTTCCTTTCAAAACCATACCAAGTCACTATTGGTCATAGCTTAGGAAACCATTCCTTAGGGACATTCAAGTGTTGTACTCTGTACTTTCTGGTGAATTATATGTCCAGTGAACGGGCAGCAACACTGTAAAATACCAAAAATACCGGCACCATAAATCAGGATATATTTAGTAGCAGACTTTCAAAACAAGCTATAATATCAGCATTAAGGTAATTAATAATGTGTATTGTGCCTAGGAGATTCAGAACTGTCTTAAACAGCCCTCTAAAGGATTACAACTAACCGCAAATGGCTAGGTTCCTCAATTGTCTGAGAGGCAGGTCATCTCCGTAAGTTACCTATGGATGTACTGTTGTCAGCATACATAATGCAGGTGCTTATGACCGCTAGACCAATAATGGCAAGGGCAGACCAGCTTCTCAAGGCCCTGGTCCTAATGACCAGATTCGAAGCCAGATTACTCCAGTTGAGTGTCTCTAGGGAAGTATGTAAAGGCCTGAACTTCTAAAGGCTATTGAACTGGAGTAGTGGTCCCTTTTACTCTGAATCACAGCAGGAAATTTGTTAGAATGGCAAAGCCTAGAACAATCCGTCATCGGCAGTCCGATAAGCCAAAGGCAAAACGTCAACAACACCGACGACGAGGATATACCTTGTTCCGGAAGGCATTTGAGTTCTGCCAGGAGTGTAATGCAGATATCTCGCTCATGGTTCAGTTGAAGGCGAATGGCCAGATTTATATTTTTAACTCGGATGGCCGATGGTCTCCTTCACAGGAAGACTTGGTAAGTTCTTTTTATTTTTGTGATATGTTGGTAAATTCTGGGTTATGCTAATGATTGCAAGTCTTTTCACTATCCTGCACCTTTAAGAATAACCTGGCAAGAGCTGGCCGCTGCCTATCAAGCTTGAACAGAACGAATTGAGAGCTGGAGGCCCTCTCTACAGGATGTATCTATGTCACGTTGCTTAGATATCCCCAACTAGGAAGAGAATACTACATACTGCCTTCCTAAAATATTCCGGGTTGACCTACGGTGCTATCGTGGTAGCATCGTAGGCTAGGGAATTACTCTTGATGGGCATGATCAGCGAGGGTAGCAGGAGACTCAGGATCAGGGACGTACTTCTTCTTAAAGCAGAAGTTCAGGGCAACTAAGATGAGAAAAGTTCCCATCCATATAAATATGATAATGTATACGAAGGGAACCATTGCTTTGAATGAAATTAATTTCATGTTTCCCTTTCCCGGGGGGTTCACACTATTTGTATTCTTGTTATGGATGAAAGCAGTTTGTGACGTATTCTGTTATAGACATATAACTATCGGTTTCGTAGCCTGTGCCCGTCCTCGACCTAGAACTCAGGCGGTTCTCTAGACTGGGCTTTGGACTTTACCGGTTGTGCGCCTTTCGACGACCGTCCTCGATGCTACTACTACGCCGAGGATCTAGCTCACTTGGCCTGTCTCATCATTGACTCGCAGTCGGATGGTATACTGAGGCGCCGCATATGTCTACTCTTTGATGTAGCACTGTACCAACAGGTACAACAATAACATGACGAGGGAACTATGCAACTAAGATAAAGGGAACTAGAATATCAAGCAAAAGTATCAGATGTCGAGGGACCAGCCCTAAATATGCAGCGTCAAGAAAAAAGCAAAGGGATTCTCGGATCTGTAAATGGTTAGGCTGCAGGTGGATAGAAAATCTAAATTGGGCTAAGGGCAGACAACGGCCGACGTGATACAGTTCCATGCACTCTCTCAGCATGGTTCATCAATGCCGATTTACTCTCTAACTCTTCCTCGCAGATACTGCATTTAACCCGCATGTCTTTCAGATATGGTATGACGTGAATGTCAACAAAGTGGCGGCCGAGGGACCCAGGGGTACCAAAGTTTTTGACTCGTTCACGTTCCGGCATACGAGGATTTCCCAGGCAAAGAAAGCAAATCGTCGGCCGTTCATGTCGAGCTTTAATGCAGACAGACGCAATTGCTTGAGAAAGAGCGGTCTTTTGTTCCTTAGGTGAAGGGCATTCTTGCCTTTTCGCAGGGGGAGTAGATGGTAAGACGTCCACGGCGCGACGTTTCTGCGTAACGTTTGGTCGCCTCGTGGGTGATCCCTCTTCCACATCACAGAAAGCAATAACCGCATTAATTGCAGCAATCCGGCGCTGATACTCCTTTTCGACAGTTGAGCCCGGCATGGTCAGGACTGTGTCGATCAATATCATATGCTGGGGGGTCATATATCCTGTCCGCTCCAAAGCACCCATCACCTCTTCATCCACCACCTTTCCAGCAAGTTGCCTCTCACTGTCAATCACCGGCTGCTCGTTCTTATATCGTTCCAAATTCTCACGCACTAAGCGGTTACGTTGTCGTTGCCACTCATTCCGAGACACACGCTGCGCCCGGCTATACCTTTGGGTCGCGCGCTTGTACTCTTTTTCCAGCCGCTCTACACTGTTGAGTGCCTGACGAGCGGGGCGTTGCAGCTCCTTTTTCACTTTCTTTTGCTGTAGGTAATCGCCAAAGTTTCACTGAAAGTCCCGTTCCGCCATCTCAAAAGCCCGCTTCATCTTGTCCCAAAGTTGTTTTCTTTTACTGACTCGCTGCTGCAGATCACGCACGCGTGGGACCTTGTTGACAACGCTAGTGTCCTCTAATTTGTAAGGCCGACAGGGGTCGATTGACCGGCTCATGGACGCTGCAAACCGCATCAGCTGCTTTTGAGCTGGCAGTCCCCGAGCAATCGCCTGAGCGTCAACGTGGATGCCCACGCTATAGTGTTTGACGAAAGTGTTGATGCTAGCATGCTGCAACATCACGTTTTGGAGCTCGTTGGTAACGTCCGCTGTTCGTCAGAAGATGGCCGCGTTAGTATGGACGCAGGCATTTCCAAACCGGAACAAGGTAAGAAAACTCACGGCTGTCATTGAATGCTTTCGCTGCTCCGTAATGGAGACCGTACGGCTTTGTGACCTGCTCGAAGCCTGTGATTTCACCTCCTCACTTCATTCGACTGCTGTCCACCTCTGATTACCGTCCTCCTGTGACGGCAGTGATCTCCTGACAGCGGTTCTACGGTAGCTGCCGGTTATACTAGTCGGCAGTCGAATTATGGTTGTGGTCTTGTAGTGCTGGTAATTTTACCATGAGTAAAGAAAGCCCTGACATTATAACTCTTGAGCCTTCAGACTCCAGTCTATGCATCACTTCCTCACTCACGGTCCTCAGTCTTGCGACAACCCCCTAGATTCTCTCCGTGTTCTTTGTCATGTAGCTGGTTGGGTGAAGGAAATGAACCTTTAATGGTGTATCTAGCGGCCAACTCTTCCCACGTAATTTGTTTCGGCTTTGGATAATGTGAAGCCTAGAGGTCTAGTTAGTACGGAGCTACCAGCACGATCACGAGGAAGGAGGAGAAGGATTTACCAGCTCCTCCAGGGATGGGGGCCATTGGCTGTTGGAGTTAAAGAACTGGATCTGGCCATCTTGCTTAAGCCGAATCATGATAAAGATATCCGCATCGCACTCTTGACAGTATTCAAAGGACTTAAGGAACAAGTTATCTTTACGCCGAGCCCGCTGTTGGCGTCTTGACCTTGGGCTATTCGAAAGACGCTTCTGGATTCTTCGCGGTCTAGCCATGGCGGATGACGGCGTTCAGGAATGCCCAACGGGGAAGGAAACGGCCTTGTAGATGATGAGGAAAGAGAGTGAACCTTCCATCTCTCTTATAGTCAACCAGTCAGCCAAAAGGTCGCGCGGGGAGGGTGATCGAGGGGTGATTGACGGGTGAGCTGGAGTGAGGGTATTGACGGGGCCGCTGGCAGGCAAAGAGACAGGTACCAAGGTTGATTAGCGCTGGAAACGCAAGCAAAAAACCGTCCTATTCTATCGTCATCCCATATCGATGCCATAGTTATCGGTGAGACTTAGCTAATGCAACTTCACACACGGATCACTAATATGATTCCTTTCCCTTTCTATAGAGGTTACCGCGATGCGGACCTAGCCTGGGGTAAATGATCTAAAGCGAATACCTTCCGAGGGCACATGGACGAGGATCCAGAGTCTCAGGGAAGAAGATCTGCCACAGGTAGAGCTACATTTGCCTACAACACCATGTTGTGATTCTGATACCATGACCTGCTATTGGATATGCCTTCGGTGACACGTTGCGACGCTTCCAACAAACGACTTCTTACAGTAGCGATGTTATTTATCAGACAACGCAAGAGACTCTCGCCAGCGACTCTCCACTCGATGAACGTCGGATGCATGGCGCTGGAAAGCCATCCTATGCAACAGAAACACCTCGCAATAATTACATTTGAGAGGATCTTCATGTAAATGATGAGCATCGAAATGCCGCGTCACACACCCAGCATCATAGAACATCTTACAACGAGTCTTGTCAGGCAGTTTCTCGTTTGCGAAGCATTGGAAGCAAGCACGCGGCTTTTTCGAAGTGTCTGTAAGATGGTTCTGTGTTGCACGGAAGAGCTCATCGCGTGGAGAGAGTGTGGCCCCCGTGTTCTCGTTAAGGCTGTCTCTAGCGTCAGACGAGCCGTCGAGGTCAGGCTCAGAGCCCGTCGATGGGATGGATTTTGCGGTGATCTGCTTAGGACGGCCACGAAGTGGGCCACCTTCTAGGACGCCACAATACTGCACAACAGCGTCCACAGCATCATCGCGCCGTTTCCATTCATCTTCCACAGAGTTGGATGTCGGGTACGAGAGAAGTCGCTGAAGAAGCAGCAGCTGGAGAGGATGCATGTCATCCTGTAAAAACAATTCTTCGGCCTTGCTATCTTCTTTTACTGCTGTACCAGACAACTGCGCCTCGATGTCCAGAAATGCTTGCTCTTCGTCAAAGTTCTCTCGGACTTGCTGCCGTAAGGCCCTCAACAGCCGTTGACGCGTGTTCTTCAACTCTTTCTCACGTTGGCGGACCCGGTTCAGTAAGTTCGGTTGCTGAGACTCCTCGTAAAGAGCACGAGCGTTGTCCAGCTTGCGACGGGCCTCTTCCATATCGGAATGATCCTCTACCTGGGCTCTCTGCTGTTTGGTCAGATACCGTGGCCGCCGCGTGTCTCGCCAACGGCTCTGCCGCGTGACGGCCCGCATCAATTCCACGTCAGGGTCAAGGCCGCAGATGACCCGGATCATATCGGTGTCGAGCTGCAGAGGATGGTAATGGTTAAGAAAGGTCCGGGGACTGGCGTGTTTCATAATCAGCATATGTTGTTCCTTGCTGACCCACCCTGCGCGATATCAGCTACCCGACCAGATATGGGAGTCCATTAGATTGTTGGCGCAAATTGCAGTACTTACCACTCTCATTGACCACCTTGCCGCTTCCGTATCGGAACTGATGTGCATGGAATGCCCCTTTCCAGCCACGAATCTCCCCGAAAGTAACTAGCATGCTCGACATAGCTGACTTCGACATCGGCTTTGTCCACTGAATAGTCGGAACCCCTTTGACTAATTCGGTTTTGGAGAATATATACCAATCAGCTTTGCTCCGGTCAATTGGCACCAGGAGCTGTTCGCAGCCTTTGCTGATAAAGAGATTGCGAAGCTTAGCTTTCGAGGTCAGGTTTGGGTTGCGGAACGCCCGAGCATGGAAAAGGATCCCAAACAGCAGCGTGTGCGGGCACAGAACCAATGACGGCCCGTAGATCACTTCCGGGAGTGCAAAGGTGGTTCTAGTCATCGATCAGAAGGCATCTTTCAAGAAAATGCGGAGATCCTTCGGCGGTCTCCGAAGTCCCTGACGGTGGAATCGTGGAGAGAGGGACAAGAACACGACACACACAAAAAAAAAGAGAATTTGGACACTTACAGTTTAGTCTGTCCAAGAAACTTCTTGACTCCTTCCGCTGTAAGCTCAATCAGAGGAACCGGAGGTCCGCCGTGGGGATCCTTTTGAAGGGAGATTTGAAGATCCTTGAACTGGAGACTTAAAAGCGCATTTTGCCGATGCACTGTGAACAGGCCTAGCGAGTTGAATACACATACTTGGATGCGCTGGAACCCGAGGTGGAACTTCTTCTCCTGAGTCGATAGAATAGTTTCGTTAAATGGACCGATATCCTCGATATAAACCGGCGTCTTCTTTGCGGGCTGGGTATCTAGCCCATTCTCGTGGACGAGATATTTGAGGCCCTGCCAATTGTTAGAGCACGGTGCCCAGCGGACTGTGAGAGATACGACTTTTGGTACGTACCCTGCGCACTTCCGACCCATCGTGATCATTGATCCGGGTCTGGGTTAACCTCTGGTAATATCCACGGAGGTTTTTCCAGTCCGCTTCCAATGAACTTGATTTGTGGATGCCCTTTAAGTGACGGCCCTTCTCTCCTCGCTCGAGCTTGAGACACCAGCCTAGGAACCGATACATGTCATTGTTGGACGCCTGGCGCAGGGCTTCTTCAGGATTCCGCCACTTTTGCACCTTAGGCTCTAGGCGTGTTCTGCTAATGCAGTACCTATGATGTCGTCAGTAGAAGCCGACCAACCCGTAGCTTCGCCAGAGTCTCTGACCTTTTCCAGCGGCTCTCAATTCGTTCTCGCCGTACGATTGTCCCTTCGGCTTTATCGAAATCTTCGGGAATTTCAGACAGATCGATCCCGGTATCATCAAGGGGATCGTCGTACATCACTCCATCGCCATCAGGTCCTCCTGGAGCGGATGCACTTTCGATCGACCGATGATGTTTCGGTGGGCTCAGTGTATCGTCCGGCTCCGTCAAATCCGTTTCGTAAGCGGCGTCGCACCGGCTATCTGAGTCGGTGCTGCTGCTCGTAATATCCGTATCACGGTCACTTTCCAGATGTCTACTCGGTCGGGACCGTGGGCGTTTCATGGTATGGGTTCGAGAGAGCAAGCGGTTGACAAAGAGGGAAAACCGAGACCAGACCAAGGAGCAGGCACTTAGTGGTGTGTGAGTTACTCAAAGCATGGAATATTTGGGGACAACGCTCGTAAATGCAGCAGGTCAGAATGATAATATAAGTGGGAGATGGGAAGATGAGAAAACGAGAGGATGGATGGGTGGGAAAGGGAGAAAAGTGGTTTGAAACAGGCCACGACAAGACGAAAGGCGGCCATCGCGGCTTCGGACTAGTTGAGTGCCGTGAGGCCATTTTTGGCGCCCTCAGGAAACGGCGGTTGCGGGCGCGACGGTGAAGCAGAAGGTGAGCCTCGTCGAAAGACGGAGAAGGGGATGGGGGGATGGGATCGCCCACGGTGGGGCCGTGGACAAGGGGGTCGGGGTCGAGGTGCGTGGTGGTAGCGGACGAGGTCGTGGTGAGAGGAATGGGTCACGTGTTACCAAATGACGGCCGAAAAAGGCGTCGTTCGACGCCGAAAATGGCAGCCATTTGGTAAATCCAAATTGTTATGGAGAAAATTTTATGGGGGGTGCTGTGCCGCTCGCTTACTGATTACATTAGTCCTTAATGCCAAGCTTGAAACAGTCAAATGTTGCCTTACAGCCCGTAATTGCTGTTATAATTACAAGTACACGTGCCAAACCACACCGGTACAATATAATTTCAATATCATCCCGTTCAACGTTTATATACGAACTTTATAGTCTATCTTCTATGATTTTGCGTTCCTACTACTTGATTTATTAAGCCATTCATGACAACTATGTACAATTGCTAGCACCCATTTTGCAAGTGACCAAGATGGCCACTCCTCTAGGTGCATCTAGTGCTTAGGCGCAGCGGACTTGTTTAAGGTCTTTCAGGCAGGTTATTTCGGAGGTCGTACGCATACCGGGCAAGGCGGGGTGGGCATACACCACACCCCATATTCGGGGTGGCGTCTATAACGCGAGCGGGACCACATGATTGGCCACCGTATGTTCCTGGCGCTGAATCGGAACTTCTTGAACATATCTAACCAATTGAAACGTATAAACGCGTCCTGGGAAAGGGATGTTGTTACTCAGCTGATTCTTCTGGGCTATTGTGAAGCAAGTAATCTTACAATATCTATCCATTATCCAAAGGACGTTGGATCCACCCTCTCTGGTCGCTGGGGAAGGATACTTTTCCGGTCCGAACCCTTCGCGCCGCATGTGGATACGTAGTTTATCTCTTAAGGGTGCCATACTTTACATTGATGTTCTCACTTACAACGCTCCACATACGTAGATATCTACTAGGCACATCCGACTAAGTCATCCTGCATCTGGTTAAGAATTGAAGCTTCCAGTTTAAACATCCGCAGCTCACGTCTTCGCAGGGGGCAGGCCGTACGGCACTTGTAGTATTAAATTATGACATAAATTACTACCTTAGCTACGTTGTGTGCCCACCCCTGCGGCGGGCCACGAGATATGTGATTGATCCTAAATAGGAGTCGATTTAGTGGCTGATTTCTTGTCAAGAAAATTAGCTCTCGATCGCATCTTGCATGAGCTTCCTTTGTGGGTTACCTAAGGTGCATCTGCACATCCAAACAAAGAAAGGCACCCTGCATTGCCTACCAGGTATACCACCCTTTATGAGTGAAGCATCTCTGCCCGTAGATATAAGGGAGTTGGAGAGAAGAAAATCATGCCTCTTCATAACGTAATTAGTTTCTCATTTGTCAGTGCTAAGCACTATTACCCTTCGTACAAGTTGCTGGGAGATCTACCACGATGTCCCGGTTATAGAGCCGCAAGCGAAGACATTCGGACAGTGGAGAGGTCCAGGCAGAACTTTCTGGTATTGCGCAGCAGAGGCATCAACAAACCCAACAACAAATCCAGCAACTCCAGACACTGAGACCACAACAAATACGACGTGTGATACCAACAGACATTCATCTATTAATCGCTCAGCAATGTGACACATATACACTTACAGACGTGGTGGTGGTGGTGGTGGATTCATACCCTGGCCCCTCGCCTTGGCGATATGCAGGACACAACTATCGCTATCTCTATATACATATCTAATTACATTGAACCATTACATCCCGACGAATTTAGAGCCTCGTCAAGGCCTGTGGCGGCCTATGTGCCTGGTATTCTGTTCTGCGGCCCTTGTGGCGCGCGGCTTCGAAACCTCTGAGATGCCTCTGCAAAGTCCAGTACTGCACCTAAGATGCTACTGTCCTGCGTGGCGTCTTTCAACTTACCTTCCTTACCCTGCGGTCCTCCTCCCAGCATATCTGCAATGTTATTAAATGCATTTCTGACTTTCCTCCGTAACTCCTGTCGCAGTTCTTTCAGTTTTGGACAGTCTATAAGTACATGGACCACTGTTTCCTTAGCCCCGCATTTGCATTTGTTATCTTCCCAGAAGCGGTGCCGCTTGCCATGCGTCGCTAGCCATGAGTGGCCGGTTCGGAGTTGTGTGAGCAGGTAGGCTCGATTGCGTGGCAGCGAGCCGTACATCCGCCGGGTGTGGATTGAGGGCAGAGCCGTGTCGATCCGGCGGAGGTGCCCTCCTTTCTTGGAGATCTTCCATTTTTGCTCCCATTCTAAGCTCTTGGATTCTTCTAAGGTTGGTTAATTGGTTGGTTGATTACTATTTAACGTCACTCGGCGGATCACGTGGCACACGTGACCTGCGGCCTCCCAAGGGGCATCCGGACGTGCTACCTAAGCAAAGACTTACTAAAATAAATACATGCTTGAAGCAACAAAGCTGGACACTATGTGTTGGAAAAGAGTGGAAGAAGCACCAGGCGCTACCCTGGCCTGGACTTCTAAAGGTGAGGAACCTGCTTTGGCTACCTTCAGTCGAGCGGGGGTGCCTTCCCCGTTCGTCCAGGTAGGATTCTTCTAAGGATGAGGGGCTAACTCTGCTACCTAAGTTGCGCTGTCACGTGAGTGCAGCGCGGTTGCGCCCCAACAATGCCCGCAGCAGAAAAAGGCAGCGTCCTCGCTGCCATATGCGGCACGCACTAACTATAGGGCAATAATTATAAAGCAAGACATCAAGAATCCAAGGCAATTCATGGGTTCCATGCAATTAGCAAAATTCTGGCTCATCCTGTTCACTCTCCCGCTCCTCCTCTGTAGTCCGACGTACTGCCGCTGCATCGAAGTTGAAGGGGTTCATTGCGAGGAAGGCGTCTGAGGAAGTCTGGGCTGAAAGCACAGCTACGCATGGAAGCAAGAAAAGATGAGAGCAAATCAATCAATCTTGAATCTCATGGATCTCTGAAGATCTATCTGAATAGAAAGAAACATCACCCTCTTATGGCCTCTCAGGACCTCACGAAGGATCTCCTGGAAGGAAAAACAACACATCACCGATATTGGCTGAGAGCTTTCCGCCTTACCTGCCACCAGTTTCCAAGATTATGAAAAGATGAAAACGGCCTTAGAATCGGGTGAATGGCAGCTTTCTAATGGTACTAAAATTATCACCCTCGAGATGTTGTGGTGTTTTGGCTACCAGCTGCATTTTGCCAGTTGGATGATTGCTTTTATCATCAGTCTCCGAAAGTCTTCATTGTAGGTACTCTTCACCGGCCCTTAGTGAAAGTCTAAGGAAGGAATGGGGTGACGAGAGATAATCCAGATAGGCCCTCCATCTGTGCATATGATCTTTGGGCACTTGGATTATACCAAAACAAGAATCAGGAAGAGCGTTGATCCACATGTTGAATGTAGATTCTTCAGGGGAATCGAGCTAAAACAAGACCAAGTAGACTCATTGGAGCTCTTCATTGACAGAATATTACAGCTCTTTTCTAACGGCTGGGTCAAAAATCGATGGCCACTTTGAGAGCCCGATGTTTAGACGCGGCTTTGAAGGTGTCATATGCAGCCATTGCCTGGTCACAAGGGAACTCTGTTGCCAATTCATTAGTTATCATATCCATACAGTCTGCTTGCTCTCAAACTTACGATGAGTCACCAGTGAGCCAATATCTAATTCACCATTCTTCACGAGATTCTGCAAGTGGGGGGTTGAAGTCGCATTACACATCGACATATGAATACCTAGAAGATCCCTATTAGTAAGAGGGAACGGTTGATTATGAGTATCCAGTGTCACGAACTGATGTTTCGATCCCAGAGCTTCTCCATGTGTAAATCCACTTTCACGCCGTGTACTCCCATGTTTGCAATCTGTCCGCCAACGGCAACCAGTTCCTGACACATTTCGAATGTAGCTGGAATGCCTACCGCCTCGATGACAGAGTCAAATCCTTTATTCTCAGTCAGATTCAGCAGCTGTTGTATTGCGTCTGGAGCTGCAGAGTTAACTGTATGGTGTGCGCCCATGGTGCGTGCTGTCTCTAAGCGCGCATCATCCAGGTCGACCATAACAATCAAGGCAGGTTTTATGAGGCAGGTCGTGAGGAGGGCTGCCATGCCCACAGGGCCTGCGCCCACAATAACCACTGAGCCTGTCGGACTGATTCCGGCGTTACGCACACCGCACTCAAAACCTGTTGGCAGGGCGTCTGAAAGGGAAACTGCAGCACGCGTGTCTACAGAGGAGTCCAAGTGATGGAGCGATAGCGTGGCGTGAGGAACACGGACAAATTCAGCCTGTGTTCCATCGACCTGGTGGCCTAGAGTCCACCCTCCTTGTTGACAGTGTGATGGAATAGATCGCTGGCAAAATCGACACGAGCCACAAGAGGTCATACAGGAAATAATGACCCGGTCGCCCGCCTGAAATCCCTGAACGGCGGATCCCAATGCTTCGATAATCCCGACACCCTCATGGCCCATGATAAGACCCGGTTTCGCAGTTGGTATATCACCTTTGAGGATATGAAGATCTGTGCCACAGATAGATGCATGTAGCATTCGCACGACCGCGTCGGTGTGCTCTTGTATCGTTGGCTTAGGACGGTCTAAAACTTCAACGGTCCCATTTTGTGTGTAAACAACGGCCT